TGAACGAGAAGCTTCCATGTTCCCCTGGAATGCACACTCACCAGTCACAGCATCTGTAAATATAATTCACCACATTCAACGCACAGTAAATTGTTCGTAAGTTAAAGCTTGACTTTTTAAATCCTGTCCGTTGCTGGTCTTTGGTGGGTAATTTGAAAGAGGACCGTTCGATAACGCCTTCAAAAAATAAAATCAACGCAGGGACATCACAGGTGACCAGAGCACCAGGTACAGAAGCATGCTTATCTCTGACATTTGCCAAGTTATGAAACAGAATCACGAAAACTGCATCAACATTCGAGTAAAAATGCACACTTTTGCTGACACATGACCAAACCCCTCCCTCACGCATTATCGAAAAAAGGCAAGCAGGCTTTTTACTCAAGCACCTAATGTGTCATCGCTACTCCTTTAGGTGCTTCCTAATTGATTAACAATTGGTAAGCAATCATCTAAAAGTACACGATTTATTTGTTGCCACTGGGAGGGGCTTTTGTAAACCGTAGTGTCGTATATTTTACATCCAAATCCAGATAATAGGATTCACTGTGTTCTAGCTCAATCTTTTTGCTTTTGAAACGGGGTTGCTTAAAAATGGGGTCATGCCAACACTTCGAAGGTCGTTGCATGGCGAATAAGTATGGCTGAGGGTAATTCGATCAAGTTCGGCATACCATGGCGTTAGGTGGCAGCTAATGAAGTTTGGCTCGCCTGTGGCAAATTAGTTGCCTAATCGAAAACTTCGTAAGAGCCACTTGCACTCGTCCCACAACTGGACTCAAGTTTGGTTGGGAGATACACCTTTAAAAAACACGAGGACCTGAGTGGGATTCTTCTTGAGCTCAACAACGGCAAAATCTTTCATTCAAGAAATCAATTTTGGTGAAATTTCTATGAATATCAACCAACCGTAGCTTTGATTAGACTTATTTAAAAGCAAGAGACGTAGTATTGATTTTTTACGCTTGCCAGTGAGCTAGAGATAAGACACGTTTAAGAATTGTGTTTACTTCGGAATAAAAGCAAATCAATGAACTTAAAAAAATGGAATTAGTTAATGTAAATCTTGTACACTATTCTGTTAAATTACACATTTTCACATGAAAGCGCACACCAATCAAGTGCAAAGCAAATCATGGAACAAAGTGCAATCGATTTTATTGATAACTTTTCGACTACTCCACAAAACGAACCTGACGTCACGCGGTTTATACATTAAATGCCTAAAGTGCTGGCTACATATTAGTGATTTATTTATCTGTTGGGTTTTCACGCTTCTGCATACAAAAAAAAATATTTTGAGATTATACGCTGAAGGCTTTGCGTGTCAACAAATTTGAGCCACCTGATGAATGCCAGGTTTTCGGCAATTCCGTGTACAGAGTATGGCAAACTCGTTGAGACAGCTGACATACACAGCTTCGCCTGAAATGGGAAAACAGCTGCATTTTAAGGCGTTTGCATTTAAAACCTCTCCGAAATTCAGCCCGATGTTTTTGTTTGTCTGATGAATTAACAGCTGGTAGGCTTAGGGCGCAGACAGGCGTCTGACCTCGGCAATTTACTGTGTGTTGAATGTGGTGAATTATATTTACAGATGCTGTGACTGGTGAGTGTGCATTCCAGGGGAACATGGAAGCTTCTCGTTCAACTCCGCAATTCCATCAGTGGCGGTGCTGGTGATACTTGTGATGCTGCTGAAAGACATTCGTCACTTGTCACCTTATGAGACTCATCTTATGCTGACAGCCACAAAAAATTGGCTTTGAAAAAGAACCCATGAGGATGCCACGTCGCGTCGTCACGAAATTCTCGCACTTTCCGTCACCATGGATGGAATACGGTTTCAGCAATCACGTCTTGTATTTACGACACCCTTGAAATGCACCTAAATTGACGCATTACTGTGAGAAGTAGAAAGTGGTTGTTTAGAAGTCCCGATCTTGGCACTTTGTGATGAAACCCACGTCTTGAGCTCACAATTAGTCTAAAATGCATACCAAATGCGAAGGGCAAGTGTTCACGTCTGTTGACCTTCCAGGTAATATTTGTGACAACGTCTGTTGACTGATTGGTTAAATGTCTTGAGGACAAAGTGATTTCTCCAACAGTCCTTGTGATTTGATTGGTGCCGCCGATCGGAGTCTCTCAAGGGCATTCGATACAACGAATCACATCATCGAGTCAAGGTCGAGAGTGGCTTATCGATCGAAAGTGTGTAACCTCTGTTTAAGAACCGGAATGGTACGGACTGACGACGGTTTCGTCGACGTCAAGTGCTGAGCAGTGTGGACCACCTGGGGAGCGTTGTGCCGGAAGTGGGGTGTCATTCATGCAGTGGAGCAGGATGGCGTGGAGGGGTGTTGATGGCGTAGCCTGGTCAGCAGCATTTGATTGGTGGAGGTAGGGTGTGGAGTGGGACCCTGGGCGTGAATGTGGGTTCCGCGTGTGCGAGTGTGTGGAGGGTACACGAATACCGCCAGATTAGACGCTGGCATCTCGGTGGCAGTTGAGTAGGGCACAGGGGGATTATGGGGTGGCTGTGTGCACAAACGACAGTCGCGTAACGCGGATGTCATAGAGTCGATGAGGGTACCTGCGTGCTGCGTTGTCAAAGTGGGTGTGCGTTCAAGCAGACTGTATTTCTGACGTTGACTGGTGAGTTTGATGGAATCTCGTGTTCTTTGAATAGCTACTGATGCTTCGACTTGATTCGAGCACTAGATCCATGTCGACGTCTCGGTGTTTCAGTGGATCAGTGAAATCTTATACTTAGCTTGGTTAAAGTGTTCCGCTTGTAGTTTCAGTTGATAGAGCCATATTCAATTAGTCGACCGAGTCTTACTACCTTCCTAACTGATAATTCTGGGTGCTGTGTGGAGACTTAATGTAATAATGTTTTCTAAATTAACTCGTAAATTTTTACATATCAGAGCATACAAGATAAAATGTGTAACTTTTTTTTACTTTTTAATTAGATGGCAATTTCCTCATGCACCCCGTTTTCATTTTGAACGCTCACTTAATCGCGCTCATTCTATTGGCCCACTCTCACTCTCTCACAAAATCAATTAGCGAGCCAAATTTCTCGATAATCGATTTTGGTCAAATTTCAAATTTACAAGATTATAACGAGTCTCCATGGGACTCAACTTCACTGCCTACGAAAGGGGTTTCTGTTAATATTTTTTTGATAATACGTGATACGGATCTATGTGAATAAAATTAACTCTGACTATGCCCTACTTATGCTCTGCTAAACGTCCCAGAAGTCAGTTCATAGATGGTGTTTTATTTAGCTGAAATCTCGACAATTGACTTCAGAACAGGTTTGAATGGCAGAAAGAAATACCAGGAGATATTTTTTACAAGGTGATATTACCAAAACGCTCCAAGGTCAAGTGAACATTTGACATTTACATTGGTTACTAAGGTAAACAATTACGGAAGAAGATGCCTGTATCGTGCCAGTCATTGAGGGCTTTTCTCTCTGCACCAACAGGCAATGCAAAGGCTTCAGTTGAAATAGCCTTCGAGTCACACTGCCAGCTCCTGCTTCCACAGATGTGGAGGTCAAAGAAGTGCAGTGGAATTGGTGTGCACGCAGCACCAAATGGTGGAAGACGGGGAGACGCACAACGTGGCGACCTCGAGACGACGCACTGGACCAACGCCATGCCGATGCTGTCTCATTCACAGAAACGCGCTCTTTGCTGGACATTCCTAACACACAACTCCACCTGACACTGCGACTTTCTGACGAAACTCCATCGAGGTTGTCGCAAACCGTGTCTCGGTGTGCGACTCCCACAAGTAGCTTGCATGAGAGACTGTTGGCCAGGTGCCTAAACGCAATTCGAGTTGATGGCATTCGAAACGGCATGCTAAAACACCGTTACCAGCAGTCTGGCTGAGTTAACGTGTGTGTGATGTGCGTGCAAACGCCACGCGCATACAACGGTCCAATTTTGACTGGGTTCTGCCACCAGCTCAATCCGCTCATTGTGCACTTCTGTGTGCCTCAAAACAGCATCATTTAGTGTGTTTGAAATTGAATTTGCAGTCAGTCAAATGACTAGCCAGAGATGATCTGAATTGTCATGTCAGACGATACGTTGTGGAGAGTGATCACACATTTCAAGGTCAGTGGTGAACGGAACGTATTGTGGGTAGTCGGTACACAGCCCGTTTCGTATGTATCGAGGGTGTCAATGTCGCAGATTACCATCACGCTGCTTACAACTAATGCCTGCTTAGGCATTGATCGAGTATTTGGTGTGTAATTGCCGTGAAATTATGCTAATTTGAATATATTTAGAAATGAGCTTTAGTTCTGACTATCAGACCAACTTTTGGACGCTTAGTTCGATGAAGTTTAATCGCAGGGATTGCTTGCAGTCTATGAACGCACTCCGTCATCAAATTTCCATCAAAAAATATTCGATTCTGATGCAATCATTGTTTCTTTTAATTGCACCCTAAAAAGTCACCTGAAAAATGTGGTGGACGTAGCAAGGCCTCTCAGTCAAATTTTGTGGTGATTTTTACGAACGATACCGGAGACTTTAAACCTTGTTTTATTACGCTGTAGCAAAGCATCATTCTGATTAACCACTGTGAAGACTTGTTGAAATTCGACGTGAATTTAGCTTCATTCACTATGGTTGGCCCTGTAAGGCCTCAAAATTTGGAAACCCTTTTAACTAAGTGGCAGGCAAGCACGTGTCTTTGAGGAGTGTTCGTTTTGGTGTGTCATAAGCAGAAAGCGTAGCATCACGGTCATCTACACGCAACGTTGGCTTCTGCGATTGGACTGTCCTACGTTCGATTTGCATTATCGACAGGGGTTTCTGTGTTCGGAAACCTTCAAACCAAATAACTTTGTTGACACTCGATGTTTTTATTGTAAATGGAAGACAAAACAGACATTAATTGTGCACGCCCCGGTGCTCCAAATACCAGAAATGTCTGGGTGGGTTTACGCAATACAGAACAAGGCCGATTAAATCATTGCAGTTAATCGAAATCTACTTAACGTGCTAAGGTGGATCTTGTGTTGGCTGAAATCAAAGCTCATTACAAACAAGCCACGCGTGATTTGGCACCAAAATCACACGCGTCAGGTCCACGTCTCAAAGTTTGTTTAAAACAAGTTGACAGTGCGCAAAGCGAGTGAATATGCGGAACACCGCATTCCAGCATGTAATTTTCCAACATTACCTCCTTTGTCCCCTGTAATTCAGACACACCGCCGTCCATGCTGCGTTTACCAGAATTTTTTGAAACCAGGAAAAGTGGGGCTTTGTGGGGGCTTCGTCTTTTTGTTTTAACCTTTTTTGTGATTTTGAAAGTTGTGCGCACATCTCCGATTCTGCAGTGTCGACACCATCTCCATCGCTACCCTGAAGATCGATAAGTTTACTGGGTTTCCTGCAGATAAATGTCAGCAAGATTTTCAACGTTTGCTCTGGCGTCTCAACTCAACTTGCATGCTGATGCCTTTAAGACGTCGTGAAGAGTGTAGCGTTAAGGAATAGTCATCAGCTATTTCCCAAGATGACTTAGTATATTACCAGCGTTTCGTTGCTGTCAGATTAATGGCCGTATAGCGTGAATGCTCCTCCATGTGAAAGTCTTATTTTAATATTCTCGTGTATAACGCTGAGCTCTGTGACATGCGATAACTACTGGCTGAAAACATTTCCTATTTAATTGGTCTCGGAAGGCAGTTTTGATGAGCTTCTGTGGGATTTGTTGCACCGATTAATCGTTCAAAATAAAAAAAATTGCAACAGTGTTGAATGGTGGCTCGGATCCACATTTAATTCAAAATCCAAATCCATTAGCATTTGCATTGGCCCAAAATTGGCAAAAAAACCCGCCTAAATGGAATTAGCACGATTTTGAGAAATTCGCTTGCCAGCACGCAGAACGTCTACGTGAGCGGGTGATCGATAGTTGCATGGTTCACGGGCGCTATTCATTGGCCACGAGTTAATTGTGCAGAAATTCGATTGGATGAATACAGTTGGAGTTGTGATCATTGATTTTTACACATTGCCTACAACAAACCGTGATGCCCTGCTGGTGAATAGACATTTTTTTTCATCTGGGCGATGAACTTCGGAAAAACAACTGTTGAAAGCACTTGGTGTTCAAATTTAGACACCCAGCTGTGACTTAGGGATGCCCTTGTGCATTTGACCCAAAATCACATTCAGTGAATTCAATTATCAGTTGTAAAGTCAACTACCTTTTGGAAGCCCAGTTCAAGGTCTCCTGATTTGTTGTGATGTTTTGCTAAAAAGGACGCCGCTGATGCCACCGCTGTCATTTAACCAACTGTTGCTGTTAGAAGTCTTAGGGGTGCTTCAAATGGCTTTACTAATCTATGTAGAGGCCAGCAAATGGGTTTACATAAATATGCAGCCGTCGAATTCCGATAAAAGGCATCAGGTTGTGGAATGTTCGCGGTTATAAGTAACTCGAGGGACGTGTTCCGGTTGGCGACGTGGGCTGGTGATAGTTAACTGACAATTCAGGGTGCAAGTGAGGCCTACCGGACCGGAAGTAGGGCTTATAAATTATCTAAATGATTGTGATTTGATCCAAACCCGAGTGATAGTACATTCGCTGCATCTGTCTGACGGTGTGTGAGGAAGTGCAGACAGGTATTAAGTGGCTTGGAAGCTACTGGGCCAAGGTGTTATTTGTTTCATTCAGTTAAAGCCAAATAAATAATGCCTTTTGGTTAATTTTGTAATTGTATCTATGCTCGGCTAATGATTATCTCGAGGAATTCAGTCAGTGGAAGTGGTGCGTCGTTGAAGCCGACGTTTCCATGAGGATCATCAATGAAGTCTCTTTCTCCGTGGACAAGCACCACGATTTACTTCATGGTAACAAAACTGCCTAATGTAAGAATGATGCCGCATCAGCAAAACTCGCGGTGAACAGGCACTGAACTTTTAGCTGAAAACATTCCAGAGAAAGGAGCTTATATGACCTGGGGGGATACGGTAAGTCTATCGATCTGTCAATCGACCGTGATGCAGGCCTTGCTGCTTTAGGTACTTAGTCAAAAGTCTGCGTTGTGTAGAACGTGAGAATGATGTGAGAGAGGTAAGAAGAGACATGATTTACTTTCACGACATCGATACAAGGTAACAAAAGTCAGGTACCGTGGCTGGTAAATGGGGGGGGGGGCAATTGGCCCAGTTTTTGTAGATAATAGCCACGATAGTAGATGCCGTGACGACAGTACAAACATAGGCAAAGGAATTTAACAAACCGTAGCTGTCTTTGTTTAATGAAGAAAAGTAAACATAAGGCCCCAAATTTTCAAGCACAGTTCATGCCCTTTTCTGTAAATTGCCATAACGACGAACGTGTCTTTGGAACCAATCAACGTCAACTACGCAAAAAGTCGATTGTCTGATTTTCGAGGTTGTAGAAAAATCGATATGTGCTTTGTGCTCATTCACATTTGTATGGACGAAGTTGTCACAATCACAAAGTGCATTTTGTTTCACCAATAAACGTATAGTTCAATCGAAATTTTTGCAAATTTGGGCCTAAACAGCAACCAGTCACAAATCAACGTAAAACTCATTTTGTCGCCATGCAATCAAAAAAAGACGCACCATATCGAATTGGCACGGAGGCAGTTGTGAAGGGGAAGGAGATGGCGGTTAATTGACTTGACACGTATCTAGGAGTTGCCAGCTGGGTGGTATTGACCCCATTTTCAACCCTGCTCAGGTAAGGAGGGATGCGGAAGTGCTTCTGGTGTGTCTGACCACAATTCATGACGAGTAAACTCGTGTCAACAAACTACCACTACTACCTCAGGATCTATTGCACCACAATTAACAGCTAAAAAGTGCGTGCCAATTTGTACAGGATCGTGAAACTCTATGGCAAAATATCCAATTGCTTTTGAGCTATTGCGGAGATTAGTTTTCTGTGGAAATTTAGACACGCGAAATCTCTACGCCTAGTTAACTCATGAAAGTGACTTTATTGAATTTTAATAACATTACTTGCTGTTGCAAATACAAATCCCTAGGCTTTGAGGTTCCACGTCTACACTGACTAGAACTTCACGTAAATTATTGCAAAATATTCTTGGAGTCTTTGTAGAACATTTTCATACTCTGTGGAGTAGTCTTCCATTTAGAATTCCGCGCCTCCAGTGTGTTTGAATTAATCGATTTTGTTTAAGCTGAATCGAATTTCGGCACACACTCATTCTGCGGGTTGTGGATTTCGTATTTCTCAGAAATTCTTTTAAACGCGAAGCAATATTAAAATTATTCACACTTTGCCAGGCCTTAAAAAACGCCTTTTATGAAAGTGTGTTTGGTAAGGCGAACGCGTAATAAATCACAGTAAGACGAACCAAATTTGTGATTTGGCTTGTCGACACTAGTGTGCTCCCTAACTAATTTGTCATTCAACGCTTGGCAAGACTTCATCTCTTGTCCACTTGTCGCACGATTAACAATTTTTTGTCAGAGAGCCCTCAGACTTTATCTATCGATAATCAAGATCGCTACACACCAATTAATTGGGTTGTTAAAGCGTTTTTTTTCAAAACGGTTGCTGCGTTGTGCGCAAAACCTGATAGAGTGAAATTCGTGTCCCATTGCTCGACTGGAGCCCTAAAATACACCATTGTCAAGCCAAAGATATGCCTACTTACATTCACATTAGTAATATCGTTGACTTTATTTGTATTGTCAACTTAACGGCAGTTATACTTGATCTAAACCTCAGTCGCTGTCGAACAGGTGCATCCACGTGAATTTGTAAACACAATGGTACTGGAAAGCAGCATGGACCAATAGATTTCACCAAAACAATCTACCAATAGACGGCGAATGAGTGAAAAGCTGTGATGAGTGTGAAAGGAGGTGGAAAAAGTGCACCGGACAGAGCGATATTGGTCCATTAATTCATACAGTTAACGTAAGGAGCGCCACACCGTCACCACCCGGTAGGTAAACCAGCTGGGAGAACACGAGAGGTCCACGCTACTACCGCCTCCTCCTCCTCATTTGGACGCGCACACGCACGCGTGCGCGCGTGTATGCATTCGTAGTGCGCCTGACAGACTGCACGTGCAGCCACGGCGCCTGTCTGTACCACCACGGCTTGCGCGCCAATTGCTGCACAAGCATGCGTGCTCGTGTGTACGTGCGTGCACGTGCGCGCACACGAGGGAAGATACCTGGTGGAAATGGCGATGATGCTGCTGCTGCTGATGGCACACTCGCGCGCGTGCGTGCGTGCATGCACGCATGCATACAGCCAGTACATCGCTCCGCCAGCTCTGTGGTAGTCGCATGCACGCGCTAGTCGGAAGAGCACCACGGTTATACCGCACGCAGAACGCTAGGGGCACCCCCCACATCGAGCTTTGATACAGGAGTGTGTGTGTGTGTGTTCGTGCATGCACGCACGTCCGCCCGTGCGCACGCACACATAGTACACCAACAAGCGTGTGCTGTGTACCACCGCTGCCACGCACACATCTTTCGTCGTGGGGCCGAGTTTGGGTGATTAACCTTGAACTACCCGCGCAGTGGAATATACCTATAAATTCAAAGTTCTTTTCAACTCTCTTTTCGACCTCACACACACACACGCAGACACACAGAGAGAGGAAGCAGAAGAGGAAGAAGGAAAAAGAGGACTTCAACCTTCCCCCGCCCCCACGCACAGCAACACACACAGCGAGAGATTATCGGTCATCCGCACTTTCGAGGCCACACACAAAGAGGACTGGCTGACGAACACATCACCCGGTGAGTAATGATGCTGATGATGCTTATTTTTATACTTGCAATTTTTGTTATCACCTCCCACTCACCCACCCACCACGCACGCTAGGCCAGTGACCGTGCCGGTTGGTGCAAACATGGTTTTTCCCAGGACACCCCTTCCCCGTCCACGTGATGTAATTCGCTTTTAAGGGAGGACAATTGCACGGCATTGCCATTGGTCGAAAGCACAATTTTTAACCCCGTGGGGCGTTTCTTTGTGCTTCTGGGTGCGCACGCACACACACACACAGTTGGTTTGCGGTGTGTGAGGCCTCAAATGTTGGCCGGCCAGACAGACGAGCCGCACTTCGACGGCCCCCCTGGCAACCGTCCTTCGGTCGGTAACTGGGACGTCTCTGCCTGTGTCACGCTCCTTCGTTGATAACCCTGGAATTACGCTGCAGCTGGAACTTACGACGTCGTCTACGCAGCATCGTCTATTTTTTTTTCAATCCAAACCTTGGATTTCGGGTTGTGTGTCGTGGTCCAGCTGCCTCTTGTTTAGCAGTCACGAGTAGTCCCGATGCCTGTCAGCTGTGGCTGTAGGTCGACTGTTTTTTGGAGTCGACTCAGCAGTTTTTGCGTGAGTTCTTTCATTTTGCAATTATCTGACACCTCTGAAGGTGGTTTTTACTGATTGGCGTGACCACCAACAGTCCCCCCGATTCATCGTCTCCTCCCGAACCTCCACCTCCGTGTGTGGGGAGGCACCGTCGATGTCAATAACCATTAGACTCACCCAAACCACGGTTTGTGACGGTCAATCAGCGTTTGGTTAATTTGCATGATTGTATTGCGTGATTACTCTAGACCTGTCCAACAACTTTTTGCAAAAGTTTCTTCATCTAGATGAGCACGTCTCCTTCATTTAAATGACGAATCGGGCCTGCACTCACTTGCTTCAAATCCCAATTTGTTCGAGACGTTTCACACGGTTTCAGGGTGGACGTCCACACAGGGAACACGTCTACAAATCTGGTGCATCGGTGTGTCATTTGTTCGGCAGGTGCTGGACCTTGCGTTCAGATTTTCAGAAGCAACCATCCTGTCCACACTCATCCAGTGGTCTAATTTATTGTCTCACATCACGACTCGTTTGAACTCGTTGCAACGAAGTCACTAGGCTGCGCTTCACCAGTTGTCTCTCAAAGCAGCCTCCTGCTAGAGACGTTGACAACCAGGGTGATTTCGCGTGCTCCATGTACAGCTTAGGGACGTTCTTTACTCTAGTACCAAAGGTTGCTTTTAGAGTGCTACAGAGTTATCACACTGGTTCTCCTGAAAACTCATTTGGCGAAAGAGTTGGAGCAGAATCCACGCCTGCAACACTCCAAGTTGAATGGCTGTTGTGACGGTCCAAAATCGACAGCCAGACCTGCCTTTGTCGGTGTGGTTGTAGGGCAGGTGTCTAATCACCTTAACGATTTGGGCCCTTTGTGTAGGCACAGCAGAAATGAGAGAAAATAATCATTTTCGGTGAAAAAAAAACATGGACAGGTGTTTGTCCGTTCTAATAAAATATGCAGCCAGTAGAAAAGCGGCTACATAAGGAAAAAAGTTTGCGCGATTTTGTTGTATTCTATCTTGACATTTGGGCAAAATATTTACGGTAGTCTGTAAAAGCCCAGTCCACAGACAGGCGCTTGTAGGGAATGTGTGTGTGTGTGTGTGTGGTTTAGGTGAAAAAAAAGCGGGTTGCATGGCGAAAGATAAGATTCAGCCTCACTTCCTGTTTGCACTGTGTAGTCATCACTTTTCGCAGACGGTTGGAAAAAAACGGTTCCGTCAACCCTCAACCTCATTAGGTGCGTGAGCCTGGGCTTGTCAAAAAATTTAGTAAAATCGGCGTTCCCACGTTGATCTGTGTGCATGGATAGGTAAGAGTGCATGCCCTTAAATCGATAAACAGGGTGCTGGTGTCCGCTGGCCCCTCCCCAACCTCGTGATAACATGTCATACCCTCCATCTCTCTCTCCTAATAAACGCCGCCACCGCCACCGCCACAACTAAGCTACCGACGGTGCCGCCTTGGTGACAGTTCTTTGTTTAACGTGTGATAAAGGGTACTGGCCACCCGGCGTGAGTCATCCAGCCCTGCTACACATCTACCGGCGTGCCACATGTTCGTTCCCTCTTTAAAAACCGCGGATCCGATATCGGAGAGCCAGTGGTTTCTGGCTCATGGCCTTCTTGGTTCGTGTCCGCAGCCCTGACGAGGTCGTCCAGTCTCTTCTTGGGCGCCTCGTGAGGTGTTGGATAAATCTTTGACGTGAAGGCTGCTTGCGAATCTGCATTCGTGGAACGGCACATTACAAAGCAGGGTGTCTGTTTAACGCAAACAGCTGTTTTTGTGTGTTTGTGTAGCAGTGTGCTCCTGTGCGCCTTCGCACGCCTTTTTGGAGTTTGCATAAAACCACACTGGGCGCAGTTTCCATTCCTCCTCTGACGCTTCTTTCACACACACACTTACACAAACACAGACGCAAAAGCATGTCTGGAATTGTTGCCAGGGTGGAGTGGGAGGGACGCGTGAATTCCCTTCGGACACCGCTACGTTCACTGTCAGGCGTCGGCGCTACCCGTTCACTCGTTCGTCTAGAACAGACACACGCGCACACACACCAGCACCCAGCTTGGGAGACGGCAAAAAGCTACGGCTACTTGCCAACCGCCTTGTGTAGGCGTGTACGCGGCCGCTCCGGCCTGACTAAGCCCCCTGCACCACCTTCATAGTCGTCGTAGCGTTGCTTGTTTGTGTGCGCGCGCGCCGCGCTCGCATCATCCGATTACGCGCCTTCGGTTGTCCAAGTTTGGTGGACCCGGACAGAGGAGGTTACCTTCGTTGCGACCTCCGTCTTCGCCAGTTTACGCGGTCCCCAAGGAAGGACAGCCGTGGTAATGGCGATGAATTCTTAATGTCCGCCCAGTTGGCCGCGTCGTTTTCTGCTGGTGGTGGCGGCGGCGGCGGCGGCGGTGTGCGTGAGAGTGTCGCTTTAGCAGCACTTCTTTTTGTCCCAGCGAGTTCGCGCGGTAAAGCCGTGGTTTGTTGGCGGCATTGACCACACGCTTGATTTACCCTCCGCCCATCCTCCAACCGAACGCCTCACTTGCCTCCTCCCGCCATCCAGCCTGACAATCCATGCTTAACCGTCCGGCCGCTGTACCGCCCGCTCTCGTGTCTCGGCTAAATCGCCACGAGGAATTCTTCAACACACACACACACACACTGTTAAGCGTGTAAAAATTTATTGGCCAGCATGATTTGGTGTGCCTCGACGTGTGTGTGTGTATGTGTCGAATTCCACAGCTGTAGCGCATTAGTGTACGCAAAAACGCAAGCATCACGTGCCCTGTTTTCGCTAAGCAAATCGCCCATAAACACATTGGGTAGCTTTTTTTGCTTTTTCTCTGTCGTTAGCAGCATTAACAAGCCATCGAAGGGCAGCGGTGCTGCTGGCGACACCCATGATGATCCCTTCGGCTCGAGTGTTTTCAATCCTCGCAACCGTGACTTGTGGGAATCTGTCGGTAGGTGGTCTGGCGTCGTAAGAACGTCCGGATAAACTAGTACTCACCCGCTCTTTCTCCCTCACTGTGGGGGAAGACGATGACTCACACTACACATGATTGAGTGGTCTGAGGACTGCTTGGAGCCATGCCTTCACTGAGTCACTTTCACTCCTCCCTCCTGACACCAACCCCGCGACACTCCCACCTTACGGATCAAAATGGCTGAAACAAAGCGGAACGTGGAGAGAGTGTGTGTGTGATCTGGGCTGAGAGTATGCGAGGGCGCATTTATTGTAGGCGAGAGTGGAGGGAGAAAAGGGGAGGCTTATGGGGCGCCCTTTTCCGGGTGGTTAATTACCTTCTGAGTACTTCGCGCCTAATTGGACAGGCTCGCGTTGGTGGGTGTGTGGGTGGAAGATGGGGACTGGCGGCCACACGCACCGCTGCGCTTCAGGAGGGTGTCTGCCTGTTCGCGACCCCTGTGGAGGTTCATTTTGGGTGATCCCGACGCGATGGCCCTCCCCACCCCCCTACCCGGCTAGCCAATTACACGTGAGTGCGTGCGTGTGTGCGTTCACGCACTGACTGACCCCAACTCTGGCGTGTGTGTGTGTATGCGGTTACAATTCTTGTGGACGAGGATTGGTAAAAAAGACAAAGAAGGCGACGCTCCCTTTGGAAGACGTGATTCAGCAGCGATTTGCGGGCTGTGACGCACGAAACGTCCGTGGAGTGTTTGTCGCCAAAAAATGAGAGGAGATCTATGCAGGCCATCTCTCTCTCTCTCTGGCCGTGCTGTCCGCTTAATTACACTTTAGTCGAAATCTGGCACATTTGTGCCGTGTGTGTGGTGGTGGTGGTGGTGTCCCCTACACAAAATTCGTGTGTGTGTGTGTGTGTGTGTGTAAACCTCGTGGGAACTTCGTCGACGTGTTTCGTATTAGGGCGGCGTGAATTCCAGCCACCAGCTAGTGGGGTTTCCATCGACGATACCACACTCTAACTCTTATGCACGTCTTCAAGCAACGTTGTAAAGGGTTAACGTCGTGCTAACTGTGCCAGAACTGCAGTTTTATCATGGCGTGGCACGCGTGGACGTCGCAGGTCGTTAATCAGGCAGCTCAATTGCTGTTCTGCATCAATTCACCATTCGAAAGCGGCGTCATCCCTCTTTGTGGGTTCGTGGGTAACGTTTACGTTAAAATTTCGCCACCCAGTAACCTCAAAGACGGGCAGTCGGCTGTTTTTTTCCATCGCGCTAAGGTCGGTTGATTACGGCGTTTTCTTACAAGACGCACCTGCCAAGTAGTGCACTACTCGTTAGCTAATTTAGTTTAAAATCTCGCAGCGAGTTTTTTTAAAATCTCACAACTGCCACACCGACTGTCTTCCCCCTCCCCACCCCCCTCCCTCTCTCGTTCTCGAGAAATTGCGGTTTTTGTGGTAAAAAGAGGCGACAGCAACGGGAAGTGGGGATTGGGGAACACACTCCAACACGAGAACGGCCATAATTGTCTTCCACCGTATGATTAAGTTAATTAAAAGAACAACGTCAACACCGACACACACGCAGCCAAGGTAAAAGAAAGGTACATTCGTGTGAATCACACCCTGTCGTTTTGCGCACTTTCGAACATCTGCGGGGGCAGTTAGTTGGAATCCCAGACGCCTTCCATAAGCGGCTAATCTTCACCGAACAAGTCGATTTTGCGCTGACATTTGGTTTTTTCCTATTTCTTGCTTGCAGCCATGTGCATGCTGGCTCACAAGGCGGTCGTCGATAAGGTAGTTGGCCCACAACCATGACATCTGAGCAGGATGTTGTCTGCGCTTCTCGCATGGACGAAGGCGAGGTAGAGAAGCAGTTGACACCGCTGCAGCCGACCACAGACAAACCGGAAGAAGACGCCGCTGGCCGGACCTCCTCTGACTCTCCTGACGGCGCGAAAATCGATCGCGCGGAGCCGCCGGTTTCGCGTCCCACGGCCCCACCTCCTCTCAGCGTGAACTCCTTCCTCACCGCCTCCCCAACAACCAGTAAGTGCGCCACGCGGTGGCTTATTCCTGTTCTCTTGACGATCAAACAATTGTCGCCATGGCAGGTGGTTTGGTGAAGCTTAAGTCAGTCGTTCTAAGTGATATCACCTTCAAACGTTGCCGAACCTGGTTGCGAGGCAAGTCCTTTAGCTCCCAGTTTTGCTGGTCACTGACGGTAAATAGCTGGTTGCTTCAACACAATGCCACCAACTTGACAACGTGACGTCTTCTTGATGCACTTCAGCTGTGCTGGTTCCTCACGAGTCCGCACCTTGACTGTTTTCGATTGGTGTCATTGAAGGCGGTCCTCATTCCGTGGCCAGTGGAGATCAATTGATATGCATTGGAATGAATTTTCCATCGACCCAAGTGTGGCCCAACGACTGTCGAGGTTGGTGGCTGAGTCGAAGACATTTTCAATGGTTTTGCATTGTTTGTGCGTGTTGTTACATTTGACAGCTGATTTGCAATCAATAGGTGTATTTACGTGACGACCGTGGCCTTGATTTGGTTGGTCGTCGCCAATTTCTTCAGTAGGTGTGGACGAGAATGACGTGTGTCGAGTCAGGGAATTGTGTGAGGTGGTGACAATGCGTGCGCGTTATGCTAGGCAATCAGCAGGTTCCCTGTCTTGGCAAAAATTTGTGCATATGTGAATGGTGCTGTGTTTATTTTGCAATTCGCCTTTTAAAGTAGGCTTAAAGTAACACCTGTCAATACATAAGGTTGCGAGGACTCCTTCAAAACAAGCATTAAGCTATCTGTTCGTGACATCCGAAACTACTTTCTTGCCAACCAATCAAATCCACGGGTGTATCAACCGGTTAGGTTTAAGTGTGTGTGTGTTTACCTCGGGAAATATTACTTTCGCCTACTTTTTATCCATCCCATTTGACTCTCGTGTTTATCTTTCATCTTGGGTGGTCCTATTTATCCTGGTGACGATGCAGCCACTACTCGTTGAGATCACCGTTTGAAGAGGTGTGTGTGTGTGTGTTTTAGAGGGTGTTCTCACCACCTCCCCCTTGCTTTCTGGCTAGGTGGGGACTTGCCGGGCGCTAGCAGGGACACACATAGGTCGAAGCCGTGTTCATAATTGTTACAAAGTGGTGCGTGTCGATTTAACCTCCAACAAGTCATGGTGGGGTTTTGGTGGGGATGACGAAGTGTACGATTTGTGAAGACAAGGGAGAGGCCGGAGTTTCCTGATTGGTCAGGGTTGGACTGTAGGCATTTTGGAAACGGCGGACTATTTCCCGTTCACGTGGAATGCTTTCTAACCCAGCATCGTTGTGGCGATATTCTGGACAATCTGGATCCTTTGTCGTCTACGAGAACCTTAGTAAACATAGCATAATCCAGGGGATAATCATCACGGTTGCCTGCGGTGTCTACCCAATCAGGCGCTGGAGAATCGGTGGATTCGTTTATCGGAGACGAGATACACAATTTGTGGTTGAATTCTTGCCTGTTGTTGAAGCTCCTGGTGTTTTCATCCTTCAATGTGGTGGTAGTCACTGCGTGCGTCAACTGCGACGCCGACAGCATTGCACCCACCGCCGCAGACAGGGAGGAAACGACTTATCATACCGGTACGGCTATTGTTCACGCCCAAACTTCGGCTGGCAAATTTCTGTTGTTGGGACGTGTCAACGGCATCCAAAGCCCCCTCCCTCCCCCCATCTCCGCCTCTTCAGTGGGGTGCACGCATGTCTCCTTTGAAGTTTCGCGTGCGTTGTGTGTGTGAGGTGCGGGATAACGGG